TCACTGGAGCTAATCTAATAATCATGATGACCAGTTCCAATCACTCACCTAAGATGAGAAATTGGTTCTTGTTCTCCTGTATGATTGCTAACTTAACTGCAGCCATAAAAACTGATAAGTAGCTCTTCATTTTAAAGGATGCTCCTAGGGGGCTTGAAAGAAATTTCTTGATTATTCCCAAAGCACATGGGAATGGCACCAATGTCACTTGGGTGTTTGTTAATTATCCACAATGCCACTCATTTCCCTATTGAGGAATGCATTTACCATGATTCAGCTGTTTCCTTTGTTATTAACTTTATCTGCCACTATTCACATATCTGATTTAAGTATACTATTTATTGAATCCATGATTTATTCACCCATAATGTTACCATTTGACATTTCCCATCATGGCTTATACCAGGTATTATGTCTGTGGACTGACAACTCTTTGACCATCCCTAATAGCAATTTGAAAATCTCAGAACATGTTCATTCTATGTGTGTAGCTCACCTTTTTTAAACTTTAGCAAACAAAAGTGAATGAGATCTTAATTCCATATCAGTCCTCATTTCTCATCCCCACTTTGATTCTCCGTTGCCACATAGATATCTGTTCTGCAAGTATTGCTATGTGTCCCTAAAAAGGAAAATATTCTTATAAAATAAATATAATGTACATTTAATGTGTGCACATTTTGTATTTCTTTTTGATTCCTAAGGTTTTTACTCAACGATATGTTTTAGAAATATATATATTTTAATATACATGACATCAGAACTTTGATGAATTCCACTGAGTAAAATTACTATAATCTGTCTCCCCAAATTTATATACATATGTTTTTATAGTAAAGGAATTTAGTTTCTCAACAATTCCTGATGCCTCCATGTTGTTGTAATTAACAACTTTGTGTGTTGTATGCTGTTGGGCTGGGGGTGTGGCTCAGTGATTAAGCCCTTCTGGGTTCAATAATGGGTACCAGAAAAAAAAAGAGTTAGATTCAACACCACTGCACCATTGCTGGCCAGTAACTTGTAGTGGAAGGTGACTCCGGAGACAGTAACTTGTGAAAGAACCTTGAGCTTCATAATGCATTATCTCTCCTCAATGTAAGAGTAGAAGAATTGAGCTGCAGAGATAATAAAGGAAGCAAAGAGGAAGATTAATAGTAATAGAGCCCATATAATGATTTAAGCTGGAAAGTGCAAGATGAGTAGGGAGGATTTCTGTTCAGTCATTCTGGGAATAAGATGCCTGACGTTTTATTACAAACTTTTATTTTGCCTCTTTCCAGAATATCTATGACTTTTTCCAAAGCATATTCCTATTCTAAATGATCCCTTTGAACTGAGGTTTTCTTGTATTTGAAAGTGGTTTGTGTAAGTAGCCCTTTGGAAAGTACAAATGATAGACATGGCTTTAAAAACATCTTTACTTATTTAACATCAACCCATAATACATATGAATCAGGTAGAATGTAGTGTTTTGACTCAGGTACACATTAGGTCATGATCAACTCAGGGTTGATTTGTAAGCATATCCACCACCTGAAACTTTTATTCTTATTTATGGTAGTGACATTCAAATTTTTCTCTTCTAACTATTTTGAGTTATTTAATGCATGATATTTAAATGGCATAATATTATATTTGTTATATTCACTCTTCTATGCCATAGAACACCAGAATACAGCCTTCCTATGTTTTAGTCAGCTTTTTTAGGTGCTGTGACTAAAAGACCTGACAAGAATATCTATGGAGGAGGTAAAGTTTATTTGAAGGCTCATGGTTTCAGAAGTCTCAGTCCATCCATAGCCAGCTACATTCCTCGGGGCTTGAAGTAAGGCTGAATACCATGGATGAAGAGTGTGGTGGAAGCTGCTCATGTAATGATCAGAAAGCAGAGAGAGACTAAGCCTAGCTCACCAAATACACAGCCCAAAGCTACACCCCCAGTGACACACCTCTTCCAGTCACATCCTACCCAAATTCAGTCACCAGTTAATCCCTATGAGGTAATTAATTCACTGATTGTTTTAAGACTCTCACATCCCAATCATTTCTCCTCTGAACCTCTTGTATTGTCTCTCACATGAGCTTTTGGGGGACACCTCACATCCAAGCCATAACATCCTATCAAGCAATTTAAATTATCATTTCCCCGGCTGGTAATCACTTGTATTCTCAAACTCTATGAAATCATTTTTTTTAGATTTCCCTTATGAGTGGTAGCATATGGTGTTTATCTTTCAGTACCTTACTTAGTTCACTTATCATAATGTCCCTGCCCGACCATATTGCCACAAATGATGGGATTCTATACCTATGCTTGAATAATATTTCCTAGTGTAACAACATTTTTTTCAGTTCATTCTATTGCAGATGTGCATTTCAGTAGATTTCATATCCTGGTTATTGTGATTAGCACTTCAAAGAAACAGGGGAGTACAGGTGTCTTTCAACATGTTGGTTCCTTTCCCTGCATATACAACGGGTGGTAGGATTTCTGGACTGCATGATAGTTTCTTTCTAATTTTGTGAGGAGTCACCTCACTGGTCTCCACAAAGGATGAACTTATTTACATTACCATTAATAGTGTATGGAAACAGTCTTTCTCCACATGCCCAGCAGCATTTGATAATTATGTTTGTCTTTCTGATGATAACAATTCTCACGAAGATAAGTGAGATCATTGTGATTTTGATATTGATTTTCCTAATAATTGATGGCATTGAGCATCTTTTCATGTATTGTAGGGCTGGGGAAGCACCGAAGGCTTAGAGTATTTGCCTATCATGCTTCCCCAGCCCTATGATTTTTTCTAGGCATGATGATTTATGTTTGATCCTATTTTGAAGAATTTCCAGTGTGTCTTTCACCAAAGTTTTACACAACACAATGGAACAAAGAAAAAAAATCACAAATAAAATAAAGAAAGAATATAAGCAAACAAAGACTACAATTAGGCTAAACCCTGGGATTAGAAAAAGGTTTAAGTTGAGTTGCTGTAAGCCACAGAAAACTACAGTATCAAAGGAAGCATACAGTTATTTCAGAAAAATGTATTTTTGCAGTGATTACAAAATAGTTTTTTTTTAAATATGGTTAAAATTTGAATGCAGAATCAACCTTCTTGCTGTAAGTGGAAGAACTCTTCAATGAAAAAAAAGGAAGTTTGAGATAAGATAAAGGGTTAACACCAGAATAGATGATACTGCTCCTCAAAATGGAAGTAGATTCACAGACTTATTATAAAAAAATATTTCCACCACTCCCTTCTCGTCTCTTCAGCTTCACTGTTGTCTCTGCAGATTGCCTCCTCCTGTTGGTCCATAAATAAATAAATAAATAAATAAATAAATAAATAAGCAAACAGATGACTCTGAAATTCAAATATTGTATTTTAGTATCACATAAATATTTTCTTTTTATTTCTTAATTTTTTATTAGTCCATTTTAGTTATATACAATATTAGGGTTCATTTTTACATAATTACACAAGCATGGAATATCATTGGTTCCAATTTAGTCCCAAGTACCCTCCCCTCTTGCCTCTCCCTGTTCCCTTTTCTCTGCTTTACTGATCTTTAAATATAAATGCATTTATTTATATATTTTCTATCAGTGCTTTGTGGATATGCATAAAAGTAACATGTACTGTGGTGTATTCATGTATGTACATAGAAAGGTTTGTCCACCATTTTCCCCTTTTCCTGTTCCTCCTCCCACCCACTCAATCCCCTTTCCCTATTCCAAGAATGAAATTATGGCATTAGCAGGTAAATGAATGGAACTGGAGCCTATCATGCTAAGTGAAATACGGCAGACCCAGAAAGCTAAAGGCCAAATGTCTTCTCTGACACATGAAAGACAGACCAAAATAAAGGGGGAAAGAGGGAAGGGAAAGTTCAGTAAAATAGAAGAGAAATAGTCTTAGTCTTTTTCTGCAACTGTTTCTGAAACAAGATTCTGATGGAACCAGCTTTATTCCATCAATCAAAAATTAAGAGAGTGCACAAGTTTGCAAAAATACAGGTCTGGGTTAGTTTCTGCATAATTATTTTAAACATTATACAATAAACACAGCTGATGAATGCATACAAAATTTTCTATACAACTATGAGTTGAAACCAAAGTGCAAAATACTAAATTACCAAATATCTTAGTCAATTTAATGAAGGTGAATATATATTTTTACCATGCAACCATTTGCTTGACTAATAATGAATGAATGGAGGAGAATGAGGAATGTATTTCTTTATACAGCCATCTCAATACAGTTATACAGAAATAAATGGATAGAGCCACTTAACCCTAATTTAACCCTACTTCAGACATACTAAACTGAAAGAAACAAAAAAATGACCTGGACAATATTACAAATTGAGTTGAATCCATCTGCAGGGAATTGAAAGGAAGTGCTGAGAGTTCATTTTTAAAAGGGAAAAAAAGACCAGTTTCACTGAAGGGCTAAAAATTTTCCAAGGTAAATATAATGTAAATTTTAGAAAAAAAATAACAGAAATATTAAATTGTTAGATGACCCATTTATATAAATTCTCTGCCCAAATATTCAAAAAATTATTCAGATATCAAAGCCACTTATTTATACAACATAACAAAGCAAAATTATTTCAGTGTTAAAAAAAATAAATACAAAAATAGAAAAACTCTTTGGAACCTTGTATAACTCTGGGGTTCTGGTACCACATTGTTCAGGGATGGACTACAAGTATTTCCATCAGGACAGGTTACAGATCACACATGTGTCTAAGTAAGACAAAAAGTCAGTATTTGGAATTCTTGTGCACTAGCCAACATATGTTCAGAGTTTGTCTACTAAGAAACATATTTTCCATTTTATATTTTTTTAATAAAATTTATCTTGAATATCTTAATTTTCAGAAAAAAAATTAAGAGACCACTGAAAATATATAAGTCACACTTTCCCGTAGTAGTTTGTCCCTTTAAGGATTCAAGTTGTCATCACAGACACTTAGTCATGAATACAAGCCTAAAGTGATATTTTCTGAAAGAAATTTCCCTTGATCACACCTTGCATGGCACAGATGACATCCTTGTTCCTGAGGCTGTAGATCAGCGGGTTCAGCATGGGGCTCAAGAAAGCATAGAAAACTGCAATGACTTTGGACTCTTCTACAGACTTCTCTGAGGGGGACCTTAAGTACATGCAGAAAAGTGTCCCATAAAATATGGTGACTGTAGTCAGGTGGGAGCCACAAGTGGAGAAGGCTTTGCGCCTGCCTTCAGTAGAACGGATCCTCAGGATGGCTGCAAAAATGAAGAGGTAGGACAGGAGAATGACTGAGAGCGAGCTGGAGAGAGTGAAGCCAGCCACCACAAACATGGCCATCTTCTTGATGTGGGTGTCAGAGCAGGCCAGCAGGAGCAGGGGAGGATCTGCACAGTAGAAGTGGTTGATCTCCAGGGAGCCACAGAAGGACAGGTGGAAAGTCAGCAGTGCCTGAGACAGCCCATGAAGGGAGCCAGACACATAAGGGAAGGTGACCAGGGAGATGCAGATGTTCCTGGACATCCTGGAGCTGTAATGCAGAAGGCTGCAGATGGCCACATAGCGGTCCAGGGCCATGGAAGCAAGGAGGTAAAACTCAGTGATCACAAGCGCAATGAAGAGGAGACACTGAGTGAAGCACCCAGCATAGGAAATGGTCTTGTCCTTTGAGAGGAAATCATACAGCATGTTGGGAGTGATGTTGGAGGAATAGCAGATGTCTACAAAGGAGAGGTGGCCAAGGAAGAAGTACATGGGAGTGTGCAGGTGGGGACTGGTGCTGATCAGCGCAGTCATGCACAGGTTTCCTGCCAGTGTGAGTAGGTAGACCACCAGAAACACCCCAAAGAGGACCTTCTCCAGCACTGGGTCATCTGTCAGTCCCAAGAGAATGAATGCCATCCCCACAGTGTGGTTTGGTGAGGACATTTTCCTCTCCCTTGGAAGCTCAAAGTGACACAGAAAGTGAGTGTATTTCAAATTCTGCATCTGTTCCATTCATATCATCATCATCACTCTCTGATTGATTCAATCATCTGTGGGACTACTTTCTGCTCTCATCAAATTCTTCAGAATTTCTACAGGATGATTTTACTCTACATGTCTGTGTTTTCTTTCTTTCTCCCTAGATTGCAAAGATAGACATACATTCAATGTTTTTCTGTTGTTGTTTTTTCTCATACATATATATAAATTAATACTTACACTTAAAAATACTTACCAACATTTATACCTGTATTTAGTGGTCTCTACACTTAATTTTTTTCAAGTTTTCTGAAAATAATCTAAATGCAAGAAAATTAGAAATGAATTTCTGCACAATATTTCCCATGTTCCAAGGCATAAATAAATAAAGGAGGTTTTATTTCCAGGGTCCAACAACTAAAATGGCCTATTATTCTGTATACACTATAAAGGATGAACAATCAGTACCCATTTTCATTTCAGATCAATAATTTGCTGGATAATGTTTGTTCACAAAGCAATGAAGTTGTGGAATGGTTCTTTTAATACATAACAAAAATGATACAGAATAATCACTGTTTCTTTCTTCTTTCATATTTATCCACACATTTATTTGTGTTCAACTAACACTTCATTGTTTTTCTCCCCATGACCCCAGGATATGAGATTACATTGCACATCCTCACTGAGCACACATTGTTCAGTGGAAGGAAAAGGGAGTAAATATGTAAACCAAAGCATAAACTCTACTATCAGATGAAAGTTAACTACAGGAGAATAGATCACAGGGGGATTCTTTAACATGTCCAGCAGAAATTTCAGGGAAAGAGGCACCTGAACTACATATAACCAATGCAATTATCTGAAAAGAGTAGACATTTTTTGTTTCCCATTATTGATGTCACTAATGTATTCATTAAAGTAGGTACACATGAAGCACAGATGTTTCAATGTGACTTAAATTTCCGCCTTGATACACTCTCTAGTTTTTCTGAAAATATAATATTACCATAAAAATCATATCCCACATATTGTGCCAACAGGCCATTTTTTACTAGGCTCCCACAAATATATCAGAAGAGACTGCATAGAACAATGGATTCTTCAGAGTCAAAGAAAGGTCATTAAAAACAAGGAAATGGGAATTGATCAAAATATTTTTCTCCATCAGTGCAATACCAATCTGCACACAAAACATAAAATGTATTTTGGTTAAAAAATGAGAAAGTCACCTACCTGCCAATATTGACTTGCCATATTTTGAATAAGCACGATGAAAGGATTTATAAGGTACTTCTTTGGTAAATTCTCTTGAGTTTTAATCTATAATAATTAAAATATGTTTGAGCCTCAAGGGCATAAACATAATTGATGTTTTGAGCAGCTGGATTTTCCTTTGAGGTCCACATCCTGAACTAATATGAATATACACAGCTTAATATGTGAATGCAGGAGATCTTTAGCTTAGGTCAAAATACAAGCCAGCATACCCAGTAATTTAGAAGAAGGAAAATATGGTAGATAATCTTGTATATTTCGTGTGGTAAAGACCAAATATTTCTGATGGGAACTTTGCTGTGTTCCTCTCTAAACACTGAGGCCATCTAATGAGACTAAGGACAAGAAGGTGTGGCAGGTGGACCTTTCAGGGCAGGAGGTGATGGGCTGAGCAGAAGAGTGCTGTCATCAGCAGCAGTGGAAGTTCTGGTTAGGGCTAAGGGCTGAGGTGGAGCTTATGGATTTCCACTGGAACTAACCTGACCTATTGAGTTAATGACATCAGCATGCTAAGAATCATAATCATTTGTGAGAAACTGGATAACTCATACAGTTAATGATTCACAAAGCTGGTGATTTAAGAAGAAATTTGGAAATAGCCCAGAGAGTAGCTGGAGAGTGTTGGGCAATGCATTTGGTAGAGGAGAAGGAAGCTCCAGGTAGTTTCATTAGTCCATCGTTTCCAGTGCACAGATGTTGCCATGTCCATCAGATGTTATCCAGTCAAATGACTCAAAGGCTCAAACTTCAGTCTTGCCAAGACAGAAGAGGCATACCTACTTTAATTTCCAAATAATGATTATTGCTGGGAGAAGCCAGTCAAAAATGTAAATCTTCATGTCAACATCAAAATATACATTTCTATTACTCTCTTGAAACTTGAAGCTTGAGCATTTATTTCATATGTTTTTTTCTCAAATGGATGGGGAAAACATTTTTTGATCTCAATTTTGTTTTATTCTTATTTCTTTATTACAACACTAAACACTCAAAGCTTAAGTATTTGTATGTAATTAAAGGTCTTATAGGAGTGCCAACTGTTATGCCTAATATTCTGAACCTTTAATACAGACCTTCCCATATTTGGAAATATGAGTGACAAATTTTCAGTCTGAATAAAATTTTCCTTGAGGTGATTAAATGCTTGTATTTTCTGATATGTGTGAATATGTAGTGTTTTAATAAATTATAAAGATTGCCAAAAGATGTTTCCAACAGGAGAAGAAATGTGGCTAAATTTGCATTTCTTGAGTAATGCAAATCATGGATAATTAGCAAATTCTGCTAATTCAGTATTTCAAATCTAGATCTATCGATTTTATTTTATAGTAAGGGGGATTGATCCCAATTGTCCTGTATCACTGAGCTACTTCAGGATCAGAAGTTCACACTAACAATACAATGTTAACTCACTTGTACTGCAACAAACAGGGTTAGAGAACATAGATATTGCCTAGTTTTATGATAATAACCTCTGTGTTTTAGTCATTTCTTGTTTTCCACCCCTAGGAAGATTTCAGATGCTTTGTTTAAATTATACTTGATGCCTTTACTTATTGACTAAATATGCTTTACTTCACTAGAATCTCCACTGATCTGTGTCTGCTTGTCTCTAGGGACTAATGACTAGTTTCTAACCTATTGGTCCTGTGTGGGTCCTAGGAAATATTACTGGTTTTATTGATGATATTTAAAATTTATTTTATTTATTCTGATTAGTTATACATGACAGAATATACTTATTCAATTTGATATATTATACATGAATGAAGTGTAATCTCTCATTTTTCTGATTTTTACATGTTGTACAATCACATTGTTCATGCAGTCATACATGTAGTTAAGGTAATAATGATTGTTTTATTCTACTATCCTTCCTCCCCCTATACTCCTTTTCCTCCCTTCACTCCCCTCTATCTATTCTAAAGTAATTCCATTCTTCCTTTGCCCTGCACTCCATTGTGAATTAGCATCAGCATTTTAGAGAAAATTTTTGGCCTTTGTTTTTTTTGAGATCAGCTTATTTCTCATAGTGGGCTATTCTCCAGTTCTATCCATTTAACTGTAAATGCCATAATTTCATTCTTCTGAGTAATATCCCGTTGTCTATTCAGACTCTTTGAGCTACTCATATAAAAAAGTGAAGCGCTTTACAACTTTTTTCTTGAGTAATGCAAATCCTGAAAATGATTTACATTTATGATACATGTAGCTTAGTTTCCTTTTATAAAACCTGATTATCTTCTCAAAGCAAACCCATATTTTTAATTTCAAATAATTTTTCTCACCAGGTTAGTTGAATTAGTATATTTATTTTAAATTTAAAGTCATATTTGTTTTATTATTTCAACAAAGAGTATAGTATTTTACATCTTTTTGTGAACTTTCAATTGCTTTCATCATTCTCCTTCAATCAAACATATGGCCTTTTTAATGGAAGATACCCACTCTCGAATTGAACTTTCCTTTTCACACATGATTTATATCATTTTCCCTTCAATAGTTTTAATAACTATTAGTTTATAATTTCAGTTATTTTTGATGGTAAGGGGGATTGATCCCAGGTGTCCTGTATCACTGAGCTACCTTCCCTGTTTTTTTGGTTTTGGGGTTTTTTTCCCCCTATTTTGAGATACAATCTTACTATTTTAGAGACTGGCCTGAAACTTGCAATGCTCCTGCCTCAATCTTCTGAGTCACTAGGAATATAGTTACGTCCCACCACACCTGAAAAAATTTGCATGATTTTTGTCAGTTGTTGAATTTTATAAAGTATTTAAGCATAATAGTATCTATAATATGCATGAAAAGTTGGCCTTTGTATTGAAGGAATAAATTATGCTTGCTTAAAACCCTTGGAAATTAGATTTTTTGTAAGTGCATAATCTAACAATATTGCTATAGCACATTTCAGTAAACCACTCCTTTTCACATCCAGACAGCATTTTATGAGTTCTGCTCCCTCACATGTTGAAGTATTACATTAGAGAAGCACACGGAGGCAAGCATATAAAGCAGGGTTTATATAAAAGGGGGCAATATACACTTCTCCAGGGAAGGAGGAGGGGCCATAGCTGGTATCCTGGTATCCCAAGAAGACAGGGTATTTAGCCTTTTTTTAATGTCCTTAGGCTTTATATGTGTTCTGCTGCTCTCTTCCCTTATCTCTCTCCTCCCTGAGTATGTGACTAGGTCCAGGAAATGCTCAGTGGGATGGCCAAAGGTGAAAAACAGGTGGGCTGGAGAGGATGGGGAGGAGTGGAGAAAAGGGTGTAATTAACAACTCCTTATAGGAGGTGACAATCCCTGGGACAGGTTACCTTAGCAACAGGTTGGAACATGGGGAGATTCTTGATTAGGGTAGATGAAGGACTCTGAAGGAATCGACGTTTCAATTCCTCCATTCTCTAGATCTGACTCTTGCCTGTCTGCCTGTCTAATTCTGGCCTCACTATATTCAGGTAGATTTTGACAATTTAATTCTTACGTTTATTTATTTTGGTATATCGTGATGTGAAAAATCACCAATGACAAGTAGATATCAAAGTTTTACTACATCCTCCATAACTATAACAGATCCATATCCATTTTTTGTGTGAATATAGTGCACATCAGATACCATTTATGGAAACTGTGTAATTTAGAGACTGTTTATCATTATTTTAAATTCCATAAGATTTAAAGTTCTATTCAAGGCAGCATTTTGTTGTGTTTGAACTGAGTCAGTTTAGGAGTACATATGGTCATGTAATTTCTTAAGGGATATACTTTTTGGTAAGGGGACAGTTTAGTTAGGGATTAAATTCTGGACTTAAAGATGCTTCTAAAAAATAAAAAAATCTTTTGGCACTCTGGAATGAAAAAAGCAAATGTTGGTGTCATAATGTCAATAAATACATAAATTAATGCCCCAAAGTTAAATGCTTATCTCCTCATTTGTAGGTCAATACTACCTCCCTGTCTTTCTGGGAAAAAAAAGGAAAAGAAAAAAGTTAGCTGATTTCTAATTCTTCATCACTCATCCATCCTCTCAAATACCGATATTCCAAACATTTTCCTTGGATACAAGGGAGTCTGCAATAGCAATAATAATGTAATATAATATTTTCCAGATTTTTCACAAATGTATAATGCATGTGTTTTACATGTATAGTCACATTTGTATTTTATATAAAGTTTATACACACAAGAATTATATGTATAATTTTGGGGTTAAGTGTTTTATACTGCTACAAGCTTCTAGTTTGCATTTTTCTAAGAAAAATTTGAAAAATAATAATAAAGATATAACTATTTACCATAAATGAAGACATATTAAAATTTGTACATTGTAACCAGAAAAATTGAAGAAATAAAACAGAAATATGTTTGCTTACTGTAAAACAATATGATATCACAAATCTGCAGGAAACAATGGCTTATTTATAAATAGTAGGAAGAAACTGGTAAAAATTGCAAGCCTCAGTGTTATATTCAATATTACAGGATATCACAAAATTATTTCTAACACAATTTAAGAAATTTCTATATAATATAACCATAGAATCAACAACCAAATATAAGTGGTGTTATTAAATTTTGGATGGAGGAAATGTTACACAAAGAACAAAAATTGATAATATTTTTCCAAATAATAATATAATTTATTTAAATAAACTTTAGAAATATTATGAAAGGTAATCCTGAAAGGAGTATTATCCTTTATTTCTTTAATATATATTTCAATTCTTGTGTTCATACTGAAAAATTTTTCCTAAGAATTCCAAATGAGAAAAAATAAAAAGTATAAAGTGATCTTAACTGATATTTCCTAATATTGGTAAAATATATAATAAAATGTTTACCTTCAAACATTACTACTCATAAGTATAAATTATTGGGAGCTTCCTGGAAGCTTACAGAGGTATAAATTACAATTAAAGTGCAAAATATTAAAATAACAAATGTCTAAGTGAACTTAATAAAGAAGATCATGTGTTTTAATACAGATCAATATGGTTGATTAAAAAAGCATGCGTTAAACCACGACGCAAAGAAAAGACTACCAAATCCAATTTTGAATCAAATTAAAGCAAACTTATATTTGTGTACACAGGAGCTGGCCAGGACTGTCTCTCCCAAAACCCCAGGCTATAGATCAGTATCTCTAGGAACACAGTTTTATAGCACAAAAAGTTGCAAACGGGAGTGTCTTGAGAACTTACAGTTAACAGGATTTTGACAAGCATTATACAAGGGCAGACAGTAAGTTAATGATCTAAATGGCTTAACATTTCGATATGGGGAATAAATTTAGATCTCAACATCACAATTTATGAGGTGTCACTGAGGTTTCAGAGAGGGTTGTTATCTTGTCAGGGAAAGCCAGGCATGGGTGAGTTCAAGGCACGAGCAGGAATTCCAAACAAATTTAGAAATCACAGTAATTTATAGTAAAACAGAAATTAATTTTTCATGACTTTATGATGAGATGGCTCCCAATCTTAAGATGCAATTAGGCTGGGTTTATCACATGAATTAAATAATCATCAAATATACGAAATCAACAAATCAATCAACAAATATATGAAAAAATATTCATCATCTCTAGCAATTAGAGAAATGCAAATCAAAACTACTGTAAGATATCATCTCACTCCAGTCAGAATGGCAGCTATTATGAAGACAAACAACAATAAGTGTTGGCGAGGATGTGAGGAAAAAGGTACACTCATACATCGCTCATGGGTCTGCAAATTGGTGCAGCCAATATGGAAAGCAGTATGGAGATTCCTTGGAAAACTGGGAGTTGAACCACTATTTGACCCAACTATCCCTCTCTTCCGTCTATACTCAAAGGACTTAAAAACATCATACTACAGGGACACAGCCACATCAATGTTTATAGCAGCACAATTCAAAATAGCTAAACTGTGGAACCAACCTAGATGCCCTTCAATAGATGAATGGATAAAAAAAAATTGTGGCACATATACACAATGGAATATTCCTCAGCAATAAAAGAGAATAAAATCATGGTATTTGCAGGTAAATAGATGGCTTTGGAGAAGATAATGCTAAGTGAAGTTAAACAATCCCCCCCAAAAAACAAATGCCAAATGTTTTCTATGATATAAGGTGACTGACTCATAGTGGGGTAGGGAGGGGGAGCATAGGAGGAACAGACAAACTCCAGATAGCGCAGAGGGGTGGGAGGGGAAGGGAGGGCACAGGGGGTTAACAAGGATGGTGGAATGTGATGGACATCATTATCCAAAGTACATGTATGAAGACAAAAATTGGTGTGAACATACTTTATATACAACCAAGGGTATGAAAAATTGTGCTCTATATGTGTAAAAAATTGTAATGAATTCTGCTGTCATTTATTTTTTAAATCAATAAAAAAAGACAAATGATGAATGTGTTAACATCCTCTACTATTGATTTTTCATGAGAAGTTTTGATAAGTAATTACAGAGTTTACCTAGCAAATAATGATTCACAGTTTTATAAAACAAAGTGAACATGAGATTTCTCCAGAGAGACATATAAACACCTATGCCACTCTATCCTTTTTCAGGGTATGGCTAGGTATAAACATGGCCATGGAGAGATACAATTGCCTTCTAATAACTTAGGTTAAGGTCAGAGCTACAGCAATGAAAAATACCCTTGACTCTATTGATGATTAATTGAATCCAAACACTTGGTAACTCAAAAGCTGGAGTGGACACTTTAGTTTCAAAATTGAGGCGTATAGTCGGGATTATTGAAAATAGACAAAAAGCTTTAGGTGATTTAGGTGTGGGAAAATGGTACAGAAATTTTAAACCAGTAGAAGAAGCATATATTTAATTTTTCTGCAAGGATCTTTCAGTGGTTAAACAGACATGAGAGCCATGGTTCTGTACCAGATGTGAAGACAAACACCACATTTTAAAGCCTTGGTTTAGCACTCTGTGCTACATTTGTCAGAGAAGATGATTTCTATTGTTCCCACTAAGGTCAGATAGTATAAAATATAACTCCATGGAAACAAAATTATAAATTTATTATGTATAATCATTTACTACTAACCAAAGAACATTTCACAGTTTCTCTGCTAAAGGAAATATTTTGCAATTTCAACATTACAGGGTTTATGTTTAAAAATAATCATGAAACTGATATTTATTCATTGATTTATGTTTTTCTTTTTGGTACTGGGGATTGATCCCAGAGGCACTCAACCACTGAGTCACATCCCTTACTATTTTTTATATTTAATTTAGAGACAGGATATCGCTGAGTTGGTTGGGGCCTCACTAAGTTGCTGAGGCTGGCTTTGAACTCACGATCTTCTTGCTCCAGCTTCTCAATGCTGGGATTACAGGCGAGGGCCACCAGGTCCAGCAAAAGTGTTAATTTTTTTGAGGAAATTAACAAAAGTGGCCACTAAGAGTTCATAATGGTAGACTAGTCATCTCCATCCAGTGGTAGTGTTTGTCCCTATAGGACTCACATTGTCATCACAGGCACTTAGTCATTTATAAAAGCCTAAAGTGCAATTTTCTGAAAGAGATTTCCCTTCATCATACTTCTCATGGCACGGATGACATCCTTATTCCTGAGACTATAGATCAGAGGGTTCAGTATTGGGCTCAAGAAAGTATAAAAAACGGCAATGACTTTGGACTGCTCTATAGACTTCTCTGAGGGGGGCCTTAAGTACATGCAGAAAAGTGTCCCATAAAATATGGTGACTGTCATCAGGTGGGAGCCACAAGTGGAGAAGGCTTTGTGCCTGCCTTCAGCAGAACGGATCCTCAGGATGGCTGCAAAAATGAAGAGGTAGGACAGGAGAATGACTGAGAGCGAGCTTAAGAGAGTGAAGCCAGCCACCACAAACATGGCCATCTTCTTGATGTGGGTGTCAGAGCAGGCCAGCAGGAGCAGGGGAGGATCTGCACAGTAGAAGTGGTTGATCTCCAGGGAGCCACAGAAGGACAGGTGGAAAGTCAGCAGTGCCTGAGACAACCCATGAAGGAAGCCAGACACATAAGGGAAGGTGACCAGGGAGATGCAGACGTTCCTGGACATCCTGGAGCTGTAATGCAGAGGGCTGCAGATGGCCACATAGCGGTCCAGGGCCATGGAAGCAAGGAGGTAAATCTCAGTGATCACCAGCGCAATGAAGAGGAGACACTGAGTGAAGCACCCAGCATAGGAAATGGTCTTGTCCTCTGAGAGGAAATCATGTAGCATGTTGGGAGTGATGTTGGAGGAATAGCAGATGTCTACAAAGGAGAGGTGGCCAAGGAAGAAGTACATGGGAGAGTGCAGGTGGGGACTGGTGCTGATCAGCACAATCATGCACAGGTTTCCTGCCAGTGTGAGTAGATAGACCACCAGAAACACCCCAAACAGGACCTTCTCCAGCACTGGGTCATCTGTCAGTCCCATGAGAGTGAATGCCGTGCCTAGAGTGTGGTTTGGGGAGGACATTTTCTTCTTTCTTGTAAGCTCAAAGTGACAGAAAATGTGAGTTTGATCCAGATTCTGCATCTGCTCCATTCATATTATCTTGTACTCATTGATCCAATCATCTGGGACAACTGTCTGCTCTTCCTATGAAATGCCTCATTTTAGATTACATTTGTGGATTACATTGACTCCTTTTGCACTGTTTAATCTGTTTCTCTTTCCTTCTGTAACTTAAAGACATGTGCTGTTTTCCTCTCATTTTTGCTCTCATTTTGTATGATTATATAAATTAATATATATTTATATGCTTATATATTCACATATTTTATGTCTTTTTAAGTTATTGCTATATTTAGTATTTTCCCTATACTTTCTTTCTATAAAAACTAAATACAAGAGAATAAGAAATTAACACCATAAGATCATTTTCTTCATTCTCATTGATAAATAAGGATGTTTGCTTCCCATGTTCACTCTAAAGGTACCCTCTTATTTTTTTTAAGATGGAATAAAGGTTGAATATTAAGTTAATTGCTTCACTGGAAATCCACTTTTGTCTGATTTAAACAAAGATACTTGGAAAGTTATCTGGACATTTCTGAATGAATTGTGCATCATCTTTGGAAACTCATCCAAGCATTTATTCATATATACTTCACAGCTTGCTCTTTGCCCCTGTTCTAGGATATGAGGCTACAACAGTAACCATGTTCTACACCATCATAAAGCATACCTTGCAGAGCAGAAGGACAGATATTTCACAAGTGCTGAAAGCTATGCATATATTGTTAGATGAAAACAAGTTCTATGAAAAGAAACCAATGCAGAATGTTTTTATGTTGCCTGTGGGACTTCCTAAATAAGTGAACAGCTGATAAGCAATACAATTATCTGGAGAAGAGAGTGGATTTTTGGTTCCTATATTTCTATATTCCTATATTTCTATTCTATATTTCATGAATGTCACTAACCCATTTGTGAAAAATATTAGTTAAGAGAAGTACAGCTATTTAAATGTACCCTCAGTTTTCATTTTGATACGCTCAGGTTTTTGCAAATCTGACACTATGGTAAAAATTAATTCTCAAGTATTGTACCCTGAGGTAATTGTTCACTAGGCTCTCACAAATACATCAAAAGAGCTTGCTAAGAATAATGAATTCTTCAAATTCAAAGAAATATTATCACAAAAATAGCAAATAACACAAGTGTATTGGGTGGTATATGCCTCTAATCCAGGAGGATCAAAATATGAGACCAATTTCAGCAACTATGGGAAGCCCTACACAATTGAGTGAGACCCTACCTCAAAATAAAACAATATAAAGTACTAGGGATGTATCTCAGTGGCAAAATGCCTATGAGTTCGACTCTTAGTACCAAACATAATAAAAAGGGGAATTGACCAATGTATTTTCCCACATAGATAGAATATGTAAAAAAACACAAGCTCCACTCTGTTTAACTCAGAGTTAAATACAAAAAAGTCACTTACCTGCCAATATCACCACACCATATTTTGCACACACACAGTGGGAACATTTATAAAGTTTGTCTCTGGTATAGTCCCCTGAGGGTTTTTTTTTTAACAATTTTTAAAAAAGAATTAAAATGTGTTTGATCCTTAAGGACATAACACTAATTGATGCTCTAAGGACCTGGATTGTCCTTTGAGGTCCAAATCCCTACCTTACATTTGTTTACACCACTTGATGAATGCAGGAAATCTTGAACACAGATAGAGAAATAAGCCATCATGTTTAGTAATTTAGATGGAAGGAAGTAGGAGTAGATAATTTTGTATATGTAGTGTAGTAAAGACAAAATAATTCCCCTGGGAAGTCTACCTTGTTTTTTTCTAAACATTGAGGCAAGACCTTTTAATGAGGCTGAGGACAAGAAAGTGGGGCAGGTGGAGCTTTCAGGACAGGAGAAGATGGAGTGAAGAGAACAGTACTGTCATCAGCAGCAGTGGAAGTTCTGGTCAGAGCCGGGGCTCCTATGAAGAGTTGGGCTTATGGATTTCTGTTGAAACTAGACTGATCTATTGAGTTAATGTCATCAACATGATAGGGATCACAGATGTTAGTGAGAAACTGGAACACTCATACAGTAACTGGAGATTTAAGAGGAAGTTTGAAAATAGCATAGAGAATAGTGGAACAGTTTTGGACAAAGCATTTGTTAGAAGAGAAGGAAGTTAGAGGTACTTTTTTGCACAGATAGTACCATGTCATTCCAATAAAATTTCTCAAATTGTAGTTTCACATTAAGCCAGATAAGGCAGGTCAATTTTGTTACAGACAAACAATGTTATTTTGTGAGAAATTAATCAATCAAATCAATATCAAAATATAGATTTTGTATCCCTGCAAAATATAAAATGTCAATATTTTCCATTTATTTTCTTTTTCAAGTTGAGGTGGAAAGATTAATATTAATTGTTCTCTTATTCTGATTCCTTGAATAAATAAAAATTGTGCAAATTTTAAAAATAAAATCATAAGTTTATATATTTCTATGAATTGAAAGACCAAATTATTAATTAATGTGTCTAATTTCCCAACCCCTTAATAACAACCTTGCTTTTTAGGAAAGCAAGATGACAATGTAAATGAAATTTGTCTGTTAATGTTTATTTGCTATTGATGTATTAAGTTTCTATTTATTCATTTTCTGATACATACATATTACAATCAAACATTGTAATAAATCATAAAATTTACAGTAGATACTTTAGAACCAAATAAGACTGGCTCAATCATAACAGAATGAATATACAAAAATAGTTAATTGCCTATTCTATATCTCATTCTTTTTGTAGGCCTCACACAATCATAAATTCTTATGAGGAAGACAATGTTGATTCATTTAACAGCAATGTCTAAAACTCATAAGGATATCAAATAGCAATTTGCCATGACCAACCCTGATTTACTATGCCTTCTAATTTTCTTCAAGCATAGCATTTTCCATTTCAAGTCACTGATAACTCTGTAGTTTCATTTGCATTGGTGAGGTTGAATAAATTGATAGATACACATTCAATAAAATGTAAACTCTTCTCATTGTTACATGCCTCATAAACAATCCATAAGGTAATTTTGTTATTCTACCTTCTAAAGATCCATCTCTTAAAACAGCTACTTCTAACCATTTCCATTGGGTTCCAAATCCCTTCCTAAAATCAGTTCTTTTTTCCTTGAATTTTCTCATGCTAATTCACATATATTTGTCTTTTTGCTGTTGTTTTAAGAAAGAAAAAAAGAGCATATTGCCTCAGGGCCCTTGAGTTTGCTGTGTATGTGCCTGGAAACTTCTTCCACAAACACCCTATGGTACCGTCCCTGCTGAAGTCTTGCTCAAAAGTTATGTCCACAGAGAGCTCTTCCATGACCCCGCCTCTCTCTAAACATTGTCTACAGTACATTTCTTCAAAGTACAGCTATATCCCTGTCAAACAGACTGACAGACACACACATGTGCGCATGCACACACCCACACATAAAACAGTGCTATAAACAATAAAGTCCTCCTCACTTATATACAAGCTTAATAACATAATAAAATGTGTTTTCTTTCCTGCTACATATCTCCAGGATACATCATCTGATAGTTTTTCAATGAATAGATTTTAGATGAATTGTGAATGAGGATGTAAAAGATGCTATTTCTTTTCTCTAAGCACAAGCTGAAGAACTCTAATAGAAAATTATAATTTGTAACAATGTCAAAAGGTATATTTTAAGCTTAATGGTATAAGACACTAAGGTACAGTCATTATCAGTAGTAGAAAAGGTATTGTTATTTTATTGATGTCTGAGTAATTCAAGTAGGAAAACTAATTTTTTAACCCTATCATATGTGAGGTCCCTGATGCCAAGATATTAGTTTAATATATTCATCTGGAACTCAGGCGAGTAGTCAGTACTAGAGATAAATATTTTAGAATCATTACAGACTTTCTAGATCACCTAAGAATAATTTGTTGGTATCTAAAAAATATTAAGAAGAAGGAAGATCTATGAAAGCTAACTGGAAAGAATTGTACAGAACAAAAAGAGAAAAACAGTTTATACACTACCTGGAAGACACATCCCAGTGATCTAAGTTACTCTCACTAGGCCCCATCTCTTAAAGATTGTATCCCTCCCAATAATCTCACATAAGGAGCAAAACTTTAATACACAGGGACATTCAACATGTAAACATTCAAGGGACACTCAACATATAAACTGTAGCATTGTTTAAGATATTGAAAAAATATTTGTACTTCTTTTGAGGTCACATACTTCATTATTCTCCTGTCCACCCCCCAAAAAAAATCATTACATAAAGTCTACTATATTGTGAATTATGTATTTTAATTGGTGACTCTTCTTTGTTGTCGTCTGTTTTATTTTATTGTTTGGTACAGTTTTATAAACACATTTTGGAATAGTTTTAAAAGAGGCAATTGACATACTGATTACCTTCTAATCTAATTTTTTCAGAGTGATGCAGTAGTGAAGACTACAAAGGGGTGTATCAAGTTAGCTACAGGAATCAATTGTGACAAGTCATCCTGAGATAACAAGAGATTAAGACAGATAATAAATCCCTGGATGCAGTGGTGCTAAGGTCTCATGTTTCCCTGACAAGTTCAGATTCAAAAGAAAACTGTTACCACAGTTGTGGAGAGTGAATAGGCCCTGGTCATCTGCTGATCTTGTGGTGTCAGCAAAGCCATGCCTGGGAAACATTCCTTGCAAAAGACAGGATGTGGGAACAGCCTTGAGAATTGGCTCTGTCACCAACATCTATCAGATGTTCCAATACAATGGATTTTCTGGGTACTACAGGATAACCGCAAGATATTCCCAACACTTTAACATTTTAGTGCACAAAGAATTCTCTTGGTAACTCACAGGCCTTCAAAAATTTGCAGAGCTTTTGTAGTTGAACTTCTTGATCATGAGACCATGAGACCCTTTATAATAAAGTTGCTTAGCTGGTTCTGGGTCACTGTTCCTCCATCAGAG